AGGGTCTGTTTGGGGCAGCTGTTGATTATTTGATAAGCAGATTATTCTGATAATATGATAATCTGCAGATTATCAGAATAAGCTGACTTGCTATTTGGGCGGTTTATTCAGAATAGCTTATTGGTAGTTATGGTTGTCTAAATGACATTCTTGCTCATTGCTGGTAAAACTATTTGGGGCAGCTTATTCAGAATAAAATCATCACAGATTAGTTACAAAAGATGACATACAATACAGTTCTCACACTCTCGTGAGTATCAGACAAAATAAAAAAAGGATAAAGACAAGTATAACTACAATAAGAAATATTAAAATATTCAATTTCAAATTCTGACTACGTTTGTCCTTAGCTGCACTATCAACCTGGGAAAACATCGAATTCTCATCACTGCTGGCAGTGTAACATGTCGGAGTGTCGGCCAATTGGAAGAAACCGCAACGAGTTGAAACACCCTTGCGACAACCGTAGAATCTTCTCCCACTGCTATGAGGCTGACGTGACAGAATCCACAGCCAATACAAACTACTTCAGCAAATACATGATCCATTAACTGCAGCTAATTCAGATATAAAAAAACAATGAAATCACTCCACTTTACAGCTAAACTGCACCCAATTTCTTCTCTCAGTACTCATTATCACATTATCTCCCCGAAAACTTCCAAAACATAATGATGGGGTAATGAAAGAGGACTTATAAGCAAGAAATGAAAGAGGACTTTTACAACAACACTTTGGACCTAAATTTCCAACAGAAAAATGAAAGAGGACTTTATGGTTTCCAGATCTATCGGCAACCATCACAATCGCAACTACTCACAGCCACATTTTCAAAATGAATGCAAAAATGTTTATTAGACACATTCCACAATTGGTCTAACACCAATTCACCTCCGGATCAATAGAAAAACTTTGTCGCACAGTATATAACAAAAAAAATCAACCTTAAATGACGCCTAAACCAACATTCCCCTGCCAAATAATGACACAACAGAAATTGCAGAAAATGATAAGATAGAATGGGAAAAAGAAGAATCATTCCTTCCAACACCACATCCAGAAACAAATCACCGTAGAGAATGATAATAGGAAACCATTTCGCAGCTAGGCATTAGGGAAATACCTCCTTGACGCGGTAACGTTCACAGCGAGGGTGAAAAGCAGAAAGATCAGAGAGGGAGGGGGCGAGGAAGACCAGAGACGAGAAGGGCACAAGAGGAATTGAGAATTGCTTACCCTAATGCGAGCAACGAACGCAGGACACGGGGACAATCCCGCGATTGGCCCTATTAACAAAATGAAAACGCGCGGATGATAGTAGTAGGAAATCGCACGACGAATGCAAAATCCGAATCGTGCGGCGGCGTTTTGATAACGTCGCCGCACCCCAATAAGCCCCCCCCGAAACGGGCCCTTAATATATTAGCCTTTTTTGGGCTTTCAATATATATATATATATATAGAGAGAGAGAGAGAGAGAGAGAGAGAGAGAGAAAGCCAAGGGCTAATATCTTAAAGGGAAAAAGATACAGATAGGTTGTATGAGTGGGTCTAAAAGAAGGCACCCAACCCACACGATACAACACACAATCCCAAAAAAAAAAAAAAAAAGATGCATATAAGATAAAAAAACCTAAACCATTAACGCCGACAAAAAGCTAGGGACGTCCCAATTTAGTCTTGCCTCTGTCTTTAGTTCTCGGAAGGGAGATGACTAACAAATTTGTGAGGTGCATATCAAATGAGCTCAAATAGGTCTTCATTATTTTTCTTTTCTCCTGGATGTGTAAACTTGTTATTCCTCATCTGAGTATTGACTCATTTGATCAGTGGATTGGTCCAAAGGTGACCAGACAGGTGTAGTTGCACATCATGAACTCCATGTGCCTGAGTAATGTTAACATCTTGCTCGACTTGATGAGACGGTAGTGAAGCAGTAGAAATATTGTCACCTGTAACATCAATCATAGGTTCTAAGGTAGGTGAAATCTGAAATGTCTCCCTTGCCCCCACGAAAGGAGGTTCCAAAGACGGGGAAGCTACAACATTGTGTGGAAGCTGAATAGTTGACATATTGTCTGCGAGGATAGTGAGCTTGAGGGGTATCCTTTTGATGACCAATAGTGTCAATAACTTGGAGCAGATTAGGAGGAGATGGAATCACTGCTTCTGGCAGAGCACTTTGCTTCTTTGGTCTGAGGTGGGGGTGTAGATGATGAAATTGAGAACTGAAGTTGTCGAACATACGACAATTCGAACAATACGAAGAGAAAGACTCAATCACAACCTTTTATTAATATCCATGATATTGTGGGTCTAATCAAATTTCCTCAGAAGCGATTGAAGTAATGTTTCTTTCAATAAGTACTTTGGTTTCAGATGGACGAAAAAAATAAGGTAGAAATGTCTGTTTTGAGTGGTTTACCGTAAGCTGAGGTAATAGAATACAATATTTTTCGAGTAAAATAATAAAATTTCATGATAGGGAGGCGAATCCAAACCGGAATGATTGGTGGTTCCGCCTGTGGGTCAAAATCCACCGACCATTTCAAATATTCATTGTTCTGTTATCAATCCAGATTACTCTTTTAGCATATAATTGTGTGTAATCCTCTTCATTATTAAGTTGAATAAAAATGTGTCTTCTATCTAAAAGTCCAATTTTCCACTCTCCAACAAGGTAGCTCAAATTCTTTACTAATAAGCTTCATTTTGGGATTGTCATAAAGAAATTTCTTGATCAAATTCAGACGACAGGAGGAAGCAAGTTGAATACATTCAACTTCTATAAAAAAGATGACAGACTTCTCATTCTTCCTACCAGGTTTCATGATGTCCTCCGCCAACTCAAACAAAGGAGAGAGAGCACGATTTAGGGGTACCTGAGGCGTGGACACCAACAAGGGCAGTAGCATACGATATGTCTGAAACCATCTCTAGAAGAGGGAGGCGCGGCGAAAGAGCAACGAATTTGTAGTGGATAGAAGAGCGAATTCTGAAAGGGGAACTGTAACCCCTGCCAAATCGAGCAGAGGGCAGACTTTCAGCTCAAGCCTGAGAATTGTGGCGAGGAAAGAAAAACTGCGGCGAGGAAATAAGACGAAAGGCGACGACGACAAAGGAAGAAGAGTGACAGACCTTTTAAATGGCGAAGATGAGGAAAGACTGCGACGAAACAGACTTTCCAAAATGGCGACGATGACAGAGAAGACGCAGCGAGGAGAGGCAAGGATCAGATGCGATAAATCGCCATAACAGTTGCTAGGGTTCGCCATGAGGCAAAACCCTAGCAGAGCCGAGCGTGGGAGAAGACGACGCCATGTATATATATACAGGCAAGTAGTGACAAGGGAGAAAATGTGTTGGCCTTGAGCTTTGGTGAATGTGTCTATTATTATCTTGAATTAAAACGTGGAGTAATATTCTTCTTGGAAAACACAGCATTCTATATGAAATGAGAATCATTCTGGATAGTTTTTGTTCTTTCACGAAATTTAGTATTACTATGAATGTGTATAGCTTTACAATTGTTGTAATTTGAAATCTTAGCTAATTGAAAAAGGGACAATTACATACATAACACTCAAATCTTAGCTATGTACAAGACTACACATTCCTGGCTCAATTTTTCTTATTCTCACACAAATATCTAATTTTAAAAGGGACAATTACATACATAACACTCAAATCTTATCCTGTCTCAATTTTTCTTATTCTAACACAAATATCTAATTTGACAACAAAACTTGGGCCCATATTTTTTGTTTTGAAAAATTCTCAATAACTTGATTGTGGCATTTGCAAATATACGTGTTTGGTAATTTAAAAAAAAATGACATGGGGCATTAGTTTTGAAAATAACTAAGATTTGAGTTGTATGTATGCAATTCTTCTTTTTTGGGCTTTGCTTGGTGGAAATTACTTGCTTCTTAATTTGGCGGCCCAGATTATCCCTCCTTGTAGGTCCCTTTTTTTTCTTTTGTAGTGGCTTTCTTACTCATTTCTCTTTCTCACTTTCTCCCTAAATTGTTCTAGGTCTTCTTTCTTCTTATTCTTCCCAATTTAAAACCACTATACAAAAATCTATTTAAATATAGCTAGATAGCCTTTCCTCAGCTCCATACATCAGAACTTACATATCACAACTCTAAACTTTTCTTTGATCATTTTGTTTATCTCTCTTAAAGCTCCATACATAATCAATCACATGAAAATCAACTAAGCCTCACAATCCCTTATTATATACATCATTAGTCCAAATCATAAACATTATATTTTCGTAATTTTCTATCAAAAGAAAACGAAATAAAACACTAGAGATGTTTGGCATGGTGGAGTCAACTATTAGTTGTGATTGCATATTATGAAGGGATGGATGAAGAGCATTGATAAATTTTGCAACTAAAATTTCATTATACTTTTGTAAGAAGGGATTATATTGGAGCAATTTATCCAATTTCTTCCTTAATGTGCTATGATAATTTTGAATTGGCTAGTCATTTTATTGGATTGAAAAATATATCAAAATTAAGTGTGCAGATCTAAAAGATATTACTATCTTGAAAGTCTGGTGAAATGAAAAGCTACCGACATCTTCTTAGTGATGTTTTATGATATGTAAGTAGTAATAGTCAATGGTTCGAGCCAAGGACAATAGTTGGATACTTGCCATTTTGAGATCTAGAGAGTGTCATTGCTATCTAGAGAGTTGCATCAAATTGATGAAATTTGTCGTGCGATTCAATGAGAAATCAAAAAGCTTTTCATCAAAGACGATCGTTGATACTATTAAATCTAGTCAAATTTTAGTTTCTTTCACTGCTTTACTTCGATTAAGTAGCCTGTTCTTAAAAACATTTCAGTTTATGATATGTTTTAAATGTCTTGTTACCGAACTAATGGAATGCAGGGGCATGATATTATATGCTAATCTTTGATATTTGGCTTGTAATATTGATTTTCATGTACTAATGTTATGCTAATCTCCTACCCACAAGCAGCTAATATTCAGGACATGCAGAACATTGGAGTTTCAACTCCAACTCTGCAGGAATGGTGCAGCGCTGATGCTTAGATTTAATTATTGGTACTGTTTTTTTTCTGTAGCTGATCAATCATATAGTTAAGTACTTGGGGCATTTACATACATACTACCCAATTCTTATGTTTTTACATATCTAACTCATAAACTTTACTTTTTGCATACCATCTGAATCCTTTATATCACAAAAAAATATCACTATTTTTGTTCTTAAAAACTTAAAAGGTGGCATTATACATAGAAATTAAAGTTTAGTTGCAAGATATATGAAGACATAGGAATTGAATGGTGTATGAAAATTGTCATAAATTCTTGTGTTCCAGGTCATTAGTATCATTGTGCTGCTACTGTTTAGTAACTGTAATTATAATGAATTTATACATCATAAACAAATCTTGAAGGATAAAATAATAATGGAAAAAGGGGAAATTACATACATACCACCCAATTCTTATGTATTTATCATGATAATAATGGAAAAAGGGGAAATTACATACATACCACTCAATTCTTATGTTATTTATCATGAATTTTGATATTTGAGTGCGATTTTTGAGTGAGAATTTGAAAAATGGATGAAAGAGTATGTTTGATTTGTAAATAGCAAGTTTTTGGATGAAAGAGGATGTTTGATTTGTAAATAGCAAGTTTTGGCATTTCTTCATTCTCTTATTCTCAATTATTAGGCATTACAAGAAATGTAATTTTGAAAAATATAATATAAATAAGGACTTTAATAGGATTTAATATAATGAATTTAATAAAAACGTCTTTTTTAAAACTGGCACACTAGGCATATGTTTAAAAAACAAAAATAAAAAAACGAAATGAAAATGAATTTAATGTCTCATAATAATCATGATTACTTAAATAGGCTTGCTATTTATTTTTTTTGAAAAATATAAATAAGAATTAATTTTGAAATTTTTTTTCAAATAATTAATCTCTTGTATTCATGAATTGTTTATGGATTGTTGTTTTAAGTAGCATTGTTGGTAGGGCTGTCAAAAAAGCTCGTTGTTCGCGAACAGCTCGTGTTCGGCTCGTTCGCTAAGTTAATGAGTCGAACACGAACAAATATTTGTTCGTTCGTGTTCGGCTCGTTTTGACTCGAAATACTACAACAAACGAGCCGAACACGAACACACTTTTTGAGCTCGAAATATAAACGAGCCGAACACGAGCAGAGTCTGGGCTCGCTCGTGTTCGGCTCGTTTACACCCCTAATTGTTGGACCTACAAAGATTGATATAGAGTTTGAAGAGATTCGAACCTCAATTGAATCAAAACTTTATTTAATATTAGATTTAAAATAAATTAAAATTTATTTATTTTTATGCCTATCTTTATTTTTATATAAATAAAATCGAGTATATCTAATCATACACACACATCATATATAAATGATTTAGGAGCCATAAATGTAAATATATATAAGTTTTTGGTGCTATTTTTGGTGCTATACATGTAATTTACCCAATTACAAATTGCTCCGACGGAACCCTCGTGAGAACGACATCCACTGCCGGCCAATCGCCACCAACCTGCCGGTTTCCTTATGCCGCAGCTCAATCACCACCGCCGTCAACCTCCCGTTATCCTCCGCGATCTTCGCCTCGATTTCGACTTCATCCTGCTCAAAAATCCAAATCCCTAACTCAAATAACCAAACAAGGGAGAAACAGATGAGAGAAAAGAGACAAACATACGCCGATCTTAGCACGCGAGAAGAACGAGATGCTGAAATCAACAGAGATCTTAATCTCTCCGACCACCGACATGATCGACGCCGCGCCGATATCGTCGATTACCGTCGCAATCGCCCCCGGATGCCAATTCCCCTCTTCGTCCTGCCATAACCGGACTAGAAATCGATGTGAGAAATTAGGGTTAGCGTAGAAAAGGAAGCCGGCGTGAAATTAGGGTTTGGGAGATTCTTAACCGCAACAGACGCATGAACGCGGTAGGAGCAAAGAGCACGTCCGCCGCCGGTGAACGTGAGGCGGAGGCCGGAAAGAGGGATGGCGTCGAATAACTCGCCGTTCCAGGCATCCATGCTTCCGGCGGCTGGAGATTTCTGCCCCCGACCCCCGTGCGGCCCGCCGCCGTTGTGCTGTTCGACGCCGGAGGTTCGTCGGCACCTGCGGGCGGCAACGTGCCGGGATTCCGAGGAGCTGCCATTTTTTTCTGGGAGGAAAGCTTGGGAGGAGGGAAGGGATGGAATTTGTAGTCTTCTTCACGACTAAGAGAATTCAGATTTGATCTCTGATCAACTAAAATTTTCCCGAAAGAAAAAATCACCAAAATTTTGACAAATTATTTTAAAAAAAATCTCAAATATGTGAACACTTTATGATGTGGAATACGTACAGGGAGGCGAACCTGAGAGTGATGACGAAAGGAAAATCTTTAGCTCGCTTTTCAATAGGGTTTATTAAATTCGAATTTAATAAATATCTAAATTTTTTATATCATATAAAAATATCATAATTTTAATTTTAAGTAAAAAGAAAATATATCTTTTGATTAGGGTTGTACTCGAGAAGAAAAGATTACATAAGGACTCGAAAAAAATATTACATCAGGCCTTCTAACGTAATTTGCATATAAAAATATCATAATTTTAATTTTAAGTAAAAAAGAAAATATATCTTTTGATTAGGGTTGTAAACGAGAAGAAAAGATTACATAAGGACTCGAAAAAAAAATTACATCAGGACTTCTAACGTAATTTGTCTTAACCTTTAAGAATTAAATTAAAAAAATGAGACACAATGGGATCCAATTAGGGGTGTAAACGAGTCGAACACGAATGACTTGCTCGTGTTCGGCTCGTTTATATTTCGAGCGCAAAAAGTGTGTTTGTGTTCGACTCGTTTGCTTAGTGAGCCAAACACAAGTTGTTCACGAACAAATAGTCGTTTTGACAACCCTAATCACGTAGTCATAAGATGTTAAAGATTGGGACAATATATAAAACATCAATTGAATCTAGTTTAATAATTTTTATTTTATTCTCTTAATACTTTTAATTGGTTATAAATCTTTATAGCCTTGTTGTTAATTAAACTTTTTAAAAATACTACAAATATTTAATTAATTAGTAGTATTTCGAGCCAAAACGAGCCAAACACGAACGAATAAATACTTATTGTTTTTGTTCGTGATTTTTGTTCGTGATCGGCTCGTTAACTTAGCAAATGAGCCGAACACGAGCTTCTTAACGAGCCTAACATGAGTTGTTCACGAACAACGAGCCGTTTTGACAGCTCTACTTTTGATGCATAAAAAATTTGACCTGTAAAATTTAAAATTTAGGTCATATTTTTTTCTCTATTTTTCTTTCACATTAAGGTATGTATTAAAATGTCTCAATAAATAATAATAATAAAAAAACTAAAGAGTAGGGAGTATTTTAAATTAAAGCTCTCATTTTATTAAAAATCTTAAGACTAATATAAATTTTTATAATACCTGTTAAAGGTGGAGCCCAGTTCACGATCCCGCCTTCACCTGCTTCTGCGCACACGCGAAGTGAAGACGCTTCGCCAGTTTCGCAAATCGTCGCCTTCCTGCCGAACTGTTCCCGCGAATAATCGAAAAGTCACGTCTCCCGCTTTGTCGCGAAAGTTCTCGCTTCTTGATCGTGATAAAAGGCATCGCAGTGGCTCTCCTTTAGCTTTGAAGTCACAATTGTTGGTGTTTTTCTTCGGACTTCTTCTGGATAGAGGAGGAGAAGTGCAAGAAGTTGTTCCCTACGGCAGAAGAAAGAAGAAAGAAGAAAGAAGAAGAGAAGATTGTAAGAGAAATTGAGTTTATTTTTCTTATAAGTTTTTTTTCTTCGGTGTATCTCAGTGTAGGTGTATCTCGGTGTAGAGAGAGAAGAAGTGAGAGCAACGAATTCCTTTTGTAAGTCGAGACGATCGACTGGTGTAAATTCCTCAAGTAGTAAAATCCTCTGCAATTACGTGAACGTAGGCAATTTGTCGAACCACGTAAATTTGTGTGTTCCGCTGTGTTACTGTTTTATGGTGTGAATTTTTCGTTCTATTTTTCGCTTCGTTGCGACCGTCCTATTTTATTTCTATATATATACCACAACAACTGATATATATTGCAATAATACCTACTTTAGAGCTTCTTGTGAGCTTTGTTGTTTGCCTTTCATTCTTTTGAAATTTTATAAGATTCAACTGTAATTTTTTAATTAATTCCTTGGTTTTTTTCTATTCTTTGGATGGATTTTTTTTAAAAAATAATTTTTCTCATAGATACTCAACCATTATGTAATGTCTCTTTCCATCTATTAATGTTGAGATGTTTTCGAGTCTATCTAGATAGTGGTTTCTTTTTCTTTTTTGGTTTTTGTTGTTGTTTCATATCAGGTTGTCACTTTTCATTCTTACTTCTTCTTTTGGGTTTCTTTTATGGAAAATTTGGTAGTTCTTAATTTTGTTGATCAAGTAATTTTGCAATTTCCATTTGGTTTTCTTATTTGTGAGTTATGATGTTGGCCAACTCCTATCAACTGTTAGTTGTTTTGACTGGAATTGTCTTTGCACTATTTCTATCTTTGGATGAAGTTTTCTATGATTGTTCTCATAAATGTTCAATCATTATTGAAATTTCTATATCATCTTTTCTGATGCTTTTTTCTAGTCAGTATAGATTGTGTTTCAATTTTCTGTTTTAGATGTCTCAAAACTATTTTTGGTGTTTTTTTTCTTTAACCATATATATTTTTGCTCTAGGAGCTCCTCTCTTTTTATCTTACTGTTTGCTGACTATTTTGCATAGATTTTTTTATCCTATTGCTATATTTTCATATTAGGATGTTTATTTTTCTTTCTTATTCTTTGTTGGGTTCCTCTTGTAAAACCTCTGATGGATGTTCTTCGTTTTTGTTTCAGATATCTGTTACTTCCAATTGTTTGTCTTTTTTCAAGTCTTAGAATTTGGTTTTTGGAAGATTGCTCTTGTTCTTCCTTTTTTTTTCAATCGAATTGCTAGCTACTATTAATAAGAGTTGTTCCTCAAAGCTTGCATGTTGTGGATGGAATCATTTTTGGATGTCTCATCTCATTTTTATTTCTTTATGTCAGGTCCTTTCATGAGAAAAATTATTCCATACGAACAGCATATGCAGAAATGCATATACTATCCGATCTCCACCGTCAATCAAACCAAAACTGTATTTCGGTGGGCCTCATTTAAGAAAAAACATAACAATAAAAAACTTATGAACAATGAAGATCGAACAGCGTATACAGCGTATGCAATTCTGCATATGCTATCCGTATGGAATAATTTTTTCTTTCATGGAATCTTTGATGGCAGTTTTTGCAAAGTTGTTGAAGATGAACATTTTTTCTTTCATGGAATCTTTGATGGCAGTTTTTACAAAGTTGTTGAAGATGAATTGAATCATTTAGTGGCTCGCCTGTTGTTATTTCTTTCTTTATTAACTTATGCTGTCTTTTGTTAATTTGCTTCGAATTTTTTTCTGTCTCTTTGTAATTTTAATTTTTAAATATAATTGAATCGTGACCCTCATTTTAAAAAAAAACCTTTTTTTTAAGTTTTTAATTCCTTTCTTATTTTATTTATAAAAAATACGACTTTCAAAATTCATTCTATATACAAATTACAACACCTGTGGAAATGTGCCCACCACTTTCTCTGGCACGTCGTGAACGCAGTCCAGCTCCCCGCTCCTCCCCAGCAAGAAAATGGCAGCTCAGAATCCGTCAAAACTTCAGCACGCATACGCCGGCGGACATCCAGCATCGGCCAACTCGGCGACCGCCAATATTGAAGCGGCGCAAAAGTTGATCGAGGGCATGGTTGCAAAATCTCCGGCCGCCGGAAGCATGGATGCCTGGAACGGCCGCTTATTCGACGCCATCCCTCTTTCCGGCCTCCGTATCAAGTTCGCCGGCGGAGGCCGTGCTCTTTGCTCCTACAGCATTCATGCTTCTGTTGCGGTAAAGAACATTCCAATCTCTAATCTCGTAATTTCACACCGGCCCTCTTTCTGCCCTGACCCTAATTTCTGACATCGATCTCTGTTCTTGTGATGGAAGGACGAAGAGGGGAATTGGAAACTGGGGGCGATGGCGTCGGTGATCGACGACATCTGCGTGGCGGCGATCTTGTCGGCGGTCGGCGAGTTCAAAATCTCTGTTGATTTCAGCATCTCGTTCTTCTCCCGTGCTAAGATTGGCGTATGTTTTATTTGTCTCTTCTCTCTCTACCGTTTCTTTGTCGTTTGGTTATTCGAGTTAGGGATTTGGATTTTGGAGCAGGATGAAGTGGAAATTGGGACTAAGATCATGGAGGATAAGGGGAGGCTGACGGCGGTGGCGGTGGTGGTGCGGAATAAGAAAACCGGTCGGATCGTCGCAAGCGGGCGGCAGTGGATGTCTTTGACTCGGTCGCTCCATCATAGCCATTTGTGACATGTTAGATGGCAATTAAGTGTAATATGTGCGGTTCAAATTCATAATCTTATGAGGTGAGATTATATCATCAATCATTGTACCATGAATAAGTTGTTGGGGGTTATTTGGTAACTTTTTCTTAATAGAATTTATGCAATTCCTAAATTCATGGAGGAGTTTTGTGAATTTTGAATTTTTAGATTTAGGATCCTATCTTTGCCTTTTTCAATTTAGTTTAAATTTAGGTTTATTAAATCTAAGGGTAGGACGAATTTAAAGGACTTACAATTTAAGGATTTAATAAAACTTATTAATGGTAAATCATACTTGCAACCAAATAATCTCTTAGATTGTGTATTGAATACAATTAATGAAAAGAAAAATCTTGCAACCAAATAATCTCTTAGATTGTGTATTGAAGACAATTAATGAAAAGAAAAAAAAAAATTGATTTGAATTTGTTTGGAAAATAATCTTTAACTGATGGATTCCAGCGATATTTAATTGCATTTTAAATCTTTGTTCAAATTCCTACTTAACTGTTTTTGGTTCAAACTAGCTTTGTCGCATTGATCCCATGTTGCCTTCAGGCAAGCTCCATCATATGAACCATGCAAGAAGATAGGTGGTCCTATTGTTTCTCATGACTATCTTCTTAAAATCTATATTGTTTGAACGATAAGGGCTCCGATAATTTAGGTTTGTCTACTAAGTCTTTCGAACTCCAGGTTATCTCCTTCTATGCTAGGCTTTTTATTAGTCAATTCTTCCAAATTTTTTTCACTTCTTAACTTAATGGCTTTCACATGCTCATTTCCTTTATCTTCGAGATTCACTTGTGTGTTACTAGATAGAGTCATTTGGGGTCTATTGATGCTCAGCGCATTTGCTTTTTATCCTAACTACTTTTTAATATTTCTGATAGTTGCATTCTCTATTTGTACGAGTATATTTTTTTTCCTAAAACTATATATTTGAAGTGAATCATAGTTGTTAAGTCAGTCTTGGGTTGTCACTACCCTTGTTTTTCCAATTACCTTCAGGGTTGGGTCGATTACTACCCCAATATTGGGTTTTTATAGCTTGGTTATTAATGTTCCAGTTAAATTTCAAGTGTTTCTTTTAGCTTAGGTTTCAAGTGTTGGAATACATGTTATTTAACTAATTTACTATAACATTCATGGATTCTACATGCATAACAATATGATCAACTAGATGCTCATTAGTATTCTTTATTACTACTAATCTTGGTGTTGAATTCAACCCTAAATTATCTAACGTCCTAGAGATAACAATTACTTATGAAGTCAAGATTACTAACCCACCTTATCGTGCATGCTAGCTACTTTCTAAAGTTTGACTCTACTCGCAAGCTATTTAAAAGTATTTATCATCATCCCCTTAATCAGTGAACATGTCTCCTCAAATTGCTTCAACATGAATGACCCCATAGCCGCATCATTTATTATTGACCTCAACAATCCCACCACTTGTTATAAAACATTTGAATTATAAGCAAATATGAAAAGGCGTGATGGGGACATATCCTGAGTAGCTCCTTAAATCTATCACAAGCTTCATAAATTGATTCTCTATCTAACTGGATAAACGAGATGATCTCATTCCTAAGTTATACTATTTTGGATGGAGGGAAGCATTTGGCTAGGAATTTTCGGGCAAATTCATTCGTGTGTTAATAGATGCTGGTGCTAATGAGTTGAGCCACATATTAGCGATATCCCTTAAGTACAAAAGGAAAAAAATTGAGATCTAACCACATTGTTAGAAAGACCATTATATCAAAAGGCAACACATAATTTAAGGAAGCTAGCTAAGTGAAGGTTAAAGTCTTGTGTTGGTGATCTCACAAATTAGTTATTTTGTACCATCTGGATAATTGTGAGTTTGAGTTTAAAAGCATGTCTCTACAACACGGTTATTAATACTTAAGTGAATCTCTTCTATCATTTGGTTGGCATACTGTCTAAGTGGTTAAGACATGATGTTGGACCTAAGAATGTTATTTTTTTCCCGAGGTAAGTTTGACATCCCTTATATTTCTTTTTAAGTTTTTAAAATTTTATGATTTTTTTATAATTTTTTCAAGGACAGTGCATACGGTACTAGTTTTGAACTTTCAGTCTCATGCATACACAACTAGGAAAATCAAGTTAAGTAGCCCTAAACTAACAATATATCAAGTAAAAATCAAATAAACTACTATAAAAAGAAGCTAAGCAATTAAACGTGTTGAAAATTTAAAGCAGAAAAACACACAATTTTGCCATTTAAAAAAAAACAGTAAAAATAAGCATACAAAATTAATAATAGAAATAAGAAACACATAAAACTATATTTTTGAATTTTATAACACAAAAAATAATAAATAAACTACAAAAAAAAGTTAGACATAATAAGTTTTAAGTGTAAATCTCAATAGTTCAACTAAATTTTCTTAAAATTAGAAATTCAACTTCACTCATTGGCAACAGTGACGAAAACTTGATACATAGAAGTTTTGTGAAGAACCAATGATACACGCAAGTATATATGCCACCAAAGTACTATACAAAATCGAGTTTGTGTACTGATCCAATAAGGAATGAGTGAACTCAGAAAGTATGGCAAAATTATAGCCGATTTGATTTGAATCTTGCTTGAAGGTTCGAATGTTGGTGATTTTTACAAGTATCTAAACATAATTTTTGTAAGAGAAAAATACTAGTTTAAATTTTTTTGTGAGACAATCAAACAAGCAAGAGTATTTCCCTTGATTTAAATCCTAAAAACCTAGGATTGAGCATTTCCTTGTTAGTGAGTTTTAACCTAGTTGTTCTACTAAGGATTCTTCTAAATCTTAAAGTTCACAATAAATTTTAACAACTTAATTCATCACTTTGTTTGTAAAAGAAGTTTCAAAGATTAAAACACCACGACAACAAAGTTTTATTCAAGCCACAAGCATAAAAATTAAATCCTAGAACCTCTACTCACCAAATCAGGGAAAAAGAGAAATTTAGTGACTAATCACACTTTCAAACATCATGTAGCACATTTTACTAATCAAAGTAAACAAAATACACAAATTTAGAAAGAAAAATAAAGAAAAAAGGATTACTCCCTCAGGTTGCAAATTAGCTCTCCACTCTTCTTCCTGGTACATTGATGATCACTAAGTCCTTCAAGGCAATCCTCTCGAATAATCCCTTGCAGATCACCTCACAATTTTTCTGACTCTCCTGGAAAGAATTTTGCTCTTTTACACACGCACACAGATGAATACTTAAGAGAACAATGCTAGTAAGAGTCTTCTCCATTATATATATA